CTAAAGTTTATTTTCGTTCAGCACATGCATCTACTATAGTTGAAGGAAGATCGGAATTTGTATCGATGTTCTTGTGACTTATGCTCGTAAACCGGATAATTATGCTTGTAAACTGGCTCGTAAACCGGTGTTTAAGCCTTTAAAAGGTATTTTTTGTCTTATAAGCCGAACCTTGGTCGACTTGCTCTACGACAAAGTTTTCTGTAAGTAGATAGTTAAGAAGTTGTCATCTACGTATGGTGCTAATAATGGTGCCGAACGCAAGTTCCTTTCATGTTGAAATGAGCTTTCTGGGAAAAAATAATAGTGACATTTTTGCATCTGTCACATTAGAGCCGTAGCAAATAAGTAATGTTAACATTACTTATTTGCTACGGTTCTATTGTTGAGCCAAAAATACTAGATTTTAACTTTACAGAGTAGGTATTATAAAGATTTTTCAAGATATATGCATATATAAAATTAGCTGTAACGAAATCAAATATAATAAGAACAAAAGAAAATATTATTTTTTCCCTTCTTGATTTTCATCGTGTTCAAGGATCAGCTTCAATTTTTATTTTTTAAACAAATAATTTGTCAATAATCAAAAAAGCAGAACGTTCTCTATACTTTATTCTTGCCTCTTATTGGTGTTTAAAGCAGATGAAGAGGCAGAATTTTTTTTATAAGAAACATGCTTATTGCAAATTGAAGCTTGACTACTTTTATATGTCACCCTTTAAAAATAACAACAATAATGGTAGCAGGAGAATATCTACTAACGAGAGAGAAGTATCGATAGAAAATAAATAAAATTTAGAGAAGTAGGCGTTAGAACGTAAATAATATCTTGACTTTCGAGCATGATGATGATGTAGACAAAAGGAAGAAAAAGAAAGAATAAAAAGGTTGTTAAAATTCATTCATTCAACATCATCACCAATTCATATGGATCTAATAACAAGAAAAAAGGAAGAAGAATAATAAACTATGCAATTTCCTTCGGACGATAACAGCAAATCTGGAAAAAAAATGTTTTACCGATCCTTGGTAAGTTGATACCATTTCTTTTGTGCAAATATAACTTTTTCTATTCTGTATTAATTCAAAATAAATATTTTAATATTATTAATCAATTTACGAAAATGTATACCGTCACAAGTTATCGGGTAATAGAACATTTACAAAAAATAGTCGGTTATATATTAAATATGGGATTAAAAAAGAAAGTAACGGATCAGCACATGCTAATGTCGAAAAATATTAAAAAGTTGTGTTTTGAGACTGTTAATAATGCGTATTACTTTGCAGGTGAAGAATGTTAAACGTTACCCTCTACCTGTTGTTGTACAAAGCACTTATTGAGAAATTCTGGTACTTCCCCACACCATCCCAATGCGTGGGAACGAGTGACGATGCTCTAATCTATGAGTGTTCAAACGTTAAAGTTGGCCCCGCGTGCGTACTGGTTGAGGGATCGCACAATCCCAGTGACCAGCGTTGGAATGATGTAGAAGTAATTAAAAGTTGCTTGATGGATATGGTGAAACGGCAACATCTAGTACCAAGATCTTTACTCATAAATGTTCCATTAGCGTGATATGACAGTCTTTTGTGCTGATAGGACTCTTATCGCTAAGTGTGGTACAAAACAGTCCACAATAATAACTCTATCTTCGATTAAGTTTTACTTGAAAGTGGGGAAAGACAACAAAAACACTAGATACAAAGTGATACGTTTACCCCTGAGATATCTATACATGAGATCAAAGTTTCTACTCTTGCTTAAACTTTTTCTGGTCCCCGATCCACTCATGTTTATCTCTGTACGTTGGTGTTCAAATTATAGTACACTACTTTCTTACAGATCATCTACTAATATCGAAGATGTTTATATTGTCAACATTTAATTATTATTCCATTCATGTGAAAATATGACATAATCCATATTTTATTACCGAATTTTAAATTTGTCCAGGCTAATTTTAAATTCGCGTAGGCACTTTTAAAATTAGATGTTTACCCAGACAGATTTCAGATCAACATATGCAAGCATCTGGATTTTAAATTTAAATAGGCGCCTGAATTTGAGAAATGCCTGTAACACATATGTTGCAGCCAAACTAGAATTCACGCAAATTTGAGATTTCACTAAGCAAATCTAAAACTATCCAATAAAACATGGATTTGTCAATATTTATTACGGATATTTCTAGAACTGAAACCGATTTCAGATCTGTCCAGGCAAATTCTTAATAAAAAAGTTTAGCAAGTTGTATTTTACATAGTCATTTGGAAGACATGAGGTATATTAGCAACATTCTGAGAGCACTAGAGACGTGAGAGTTCACCATAAAAGTGAATACAATAATCAGTATGACACACATTATGCCAGCAGCTAATTTGAATTCCATTTCAATTTATTCACTTTATATTATTTATTTACAATAACAGAATTTTGTATTTTTAAGAAAAATATAAACTACATTGAGAATTGTATTAGTGGCATTTTCTGTTCCGTACAACATTTTTTTAATACAATTTTTATTTTTCTTGAAAATGCAAAATTCTGTTATCGTAAACAAATAATATAAACATAAAATTATATAATGAAATTCAAATTAGCTGCTATTAATTTTAAGTTTGCCTGGTGAAATCTCAAATTTGCCTAAATTTTAGGCTGCCTGCAACGCATACTCTATTCTCAGAGATGAGGTCATATAATCTAATAATCTACTTTATATGTGTTATCGCTACAAAGCCGCTGGCGTACATGTTTCTGACGCTTAAAACTACATAGTTAAAAATTAGAATACACGTAATATTGTGTATTCATATTATCCCTAGCAAGAAACCTACAGAGCAGCGCAAGAGAGTTTTTGCAAGTCTCAAGTCAAGTCACTAAAAAGAATTGTCAAGTCAAGCCGAAATGAGAAAAACTTTTCTTCCAGGTCAAGTGATTCCTCAAAATTTTTTCCTCCAAGTCAACTGAAGTCTAGTTAAAAAATAAAAAGCATAAAATTTGCTAGCGCGTTTTGGGTGAGAGACAGTTTTTATAGTTTCAGAAATTCTATTTCATGATAAAAAATGCCTAATTTAAACGAAAATCTCATACTAGAAATGACTTGACCTGAAAATTTGTTCAAGTCCAGTCACGGTCACGAAATAAAACCTCTCAAGTCAAGTTACACTCCAAAAATTTTTCGACCAAGTCAAGTCAAGTCAGACTTGAAGAGATTTGCTAGAATTCTGTTAGGCAATGACCCTAACTTCAACATCCTATAAGATCCTAGTAGGAAATAAATAAGAAGTGCATAGAGTTTTTTCTGGGGATGTGTATTCATGTTAATTAAAAAGAACTTCACGCTTTTGTTCCTAGAGAAATCATGAAGCACAACGTTACATCAGAATTTAAATATACTTTAGTAGAAGCTCTTGATGCCGGAAAGTAAGATCTTTGAATACTCTTGCTCCAAAAATCTTTCTATTTCTTGGATATAGGAACTTTCATTAGAGTATCTTCTAACCTATACAACATTTCAAACGATGAGGAAAATGATCAACAAAAACATTGAGAAAAATTTTACTGAAAATAGCCAGTCAAAATATTGTTTCTAAGATATGTGCAAAGTAGCTGTTTGCTCGTCTCTAGCTCTATTCTACTTTGAAACTTCAGGTGATCTTAGAGTCGTGATCATAGCCCAATCTTTAAAAATTTGGGGAATTTTTCATTGAAAATAATTTCTTTATATTTTATATGATTCAATCACATTGATGAAAAAACAACATTTTTTAGGATTCCTTAGCAACATAATATCATTGATTATTTCTCTGCACAATCTCTGTCGACGTGATGTAATCCATCTTTCATGAACCCTGACCTTACCCTGTCCTACAAGATAAGGTAGGGTACGATAGGGTAAGGGCAACACATCCCTAGCTAAGTTATGAGATTTTTTGAAGAGGATTTTTGACTTTCAAAGGCGACTGTCAATCGTAAAATAACTGTATTCCAGTAATTACTAACAGACAACACATTAAATTCATACTGAAAAGCCTATAGGATACTGATGAAGATAGCAGATGTTTGAAGACGTAGAAATTCTACCACTACCTTATAAGAGTTTCTGATCTAGCATTGCGGATGAAGTGGATTGTATATAATACAAATTGAACTGTATTCATTTTAGCCTTCGATACCAATCAATTATTCGACAGCAGTCATACCTACATTCGCCCCCTTTGGAACTGATTATACACCACCTCATTCAGTGAAAATTGTTGGAAGTAAACGAATATCACTGCCAGAAGTTATGAACCAACAGTGAGTATACTGATGAGAAATCGTATATGCAGAGCTTACCTGTTTTCTGTCTAAGGCTATTTTACCTGTCATAATAAGTTATATATTTGTGTTTTGCTAGAAAAGAGAGTTATATAAAAACTATTAAACATTATTCCTATGAATGCACTTCTGATCAAATAAAAGATTTTTACACATTCGTTACTATTTGCTATGATAAGAGCGAGAGCTAGTGCACTCATTTTCTCAAATACATCATCGTCTGACGTTATTTAAGATATTTTTCTTTCTTCTCATTATTTATTCTTTTCAATGTATCAGTCCATGAATTTAACTAGCTTTATGGTTGTTGAATACGGGAGAACAATAGAAATAATTTATTCTTTTGTCGGTTGAATTGTTAAAAAAATTTTGATTTCTAACGTCCTTCAAGAAACAAGAAAGGAAAAGTTCACACTACTGTTACCAACAGTTCGAAGCACGCGCACCTCTGTTTTTGTTAAAAACAGTATAAACATAAGCAAAAAAGAAGGTGAAACTTAAGTTTCAAAAATAAAACAAAAGCTGCGAAGAAAAAATATCAACAAAGACAACGTTAACAAAGTTTCCAAGCAACTGCTTTCCTTTTCCTACAGTGAAAATTCATGACCACTTAGCATCCACTTTTGCCGATTGATTTTTTATTGTTCACACGTAACTGATACATTTTCAAAGCATGGCCTTCACCAGGCATTTTCCTCATAGTGGCTTTATCTAGTATGTAATACAAATTGAAAATGCGAGAATTATCTTGGATATCTGTTCATTTTTAGTGATCCAGTTATGCAGCCAACAAAACCAATTCAGAACATTTACCAATTAGATAGTTCACGTTTTCAAAAAATACCAAAAGGAAGATTTGATACCACTTATCGTTCAGAATTTAGCAATAGACAACGTTATCCTGTAAGTAGAGAGTGTTAGTTTAAAATCACTCCATCTGAGATAAAATTCACGTTTTTAACCATGGTTTTGTCCTAAGGATACAATACAAGATGATTATCAGGTACCAACATACACATCGGTTCATTCAAACCAATTAATATTCATTAATACACTATACTCAGCTCTTTATACACCCTAAAATGAAGTGATTTTGCACATTTGTTTTGCCCCCATGTTTCATACAGTCATCCACACATTTTTGTATTCACTTATTTGATTCTGGAAATTTCAGAGAAAAATATTCCATCACGCACTACTATGATGAAACTGAAAGAGCACAGCCATTAGCGTTAGACACGTGCATAACACTGTTTTTTATTACCGATTAAAAAAAGTCATGTTTAATTTTGTGACTTTAGACCAACTTTTCTAGTCTGAATTTTCTTTTTTTCTCTATAAATCAGAGGTGGATGAGTCTTTCGTTTTTAAATCCGAGTCAAGTTCGAGTCATTTTTTTCAAATTAAAAGTTCGAAAACTTCCTCTGTCCAAAACGTTGATGAGGTTTCTACTTTCTAAACAACATATTGACACTTTTGTTTCTCATCTCTTATTGTACTTGATGCTTCTTAAAAGTAGAAGCCTGATGACTGAAAAACAAAATGACAAGAAAAACTTGAATTATAAAAAAAACGACTCTAGCACTTTTCACAGGTTTTAGCAGTCTGTCATCTCGCGTTCAACTCAAGGGTACTTGAATTCTAATTATGACTCGAACCCGCACAGCTCTGGTCTAGATTAGATTTTTCATGCGAACGGTTGTGAAACCTTATGAGTGCAAAATAGATTATAAGCATTTCAGGATGAAACAGATTTAATTTTTCAACAAAACCCTGTATGGAACATTTTTATTTAATACCACCGGGAAACCACGGTATCAAAAATACCGTCGATTACTTCCATATAATCTGAAACCGCCCGGTATATCGGTAACTGGGCAGTATTCTCCACACATCTGGGCAAGGAAACTGGAGTAAAAAAACTGGAAGGAAACTGGAGGAAGTAAAAAATCTGAAAAATTTGCAAAAAGAGTAGAGGCGCTGCAACAGTAAAAATCATTCCAGGTTCTGATGCCCGCCCGCCCGCTGTGATTCAGGCCTGGTAACCGATTATTTCAAAATTTGCTAAAGATTTCGATTTCCGCTCAGCGATACTGGTGTCAAAAATACTATTCATTTTAAAATCGAGTGTACTTAGATGTTGTGAATAACTGTTGAACGAAAAGGGATAGAAACAAGCGGAGTACATCGAACTATGAAAAAGTCAAGATCTGATAAGGGGTCTATCATGGTGTACCTTTTGAGTGAAGACCTAGGAGATCGCTGTCCTCCGAAAAAAAAGACGGATTTTCACTTCTAAGAGGATGGTTCAAATTATTGGACATCGATCTACACAAAGTCTCAATCTGGCACGGTTCGGGCGCTAAACAACTTCAGAATTTAACATATTCTTCAATCTATCTGTGTACATTATGGATTTCAATAAACGTTTCAAAAGTCAATAAAAATTACTTTTAGTTTTTAAAAGGTTTTCCAGAAATCTTTTATACTCGGGTTCGGGACAGGTTTCAGTTCATCTGAACGGGATCGGGATCGGTTTGTTTCCGATCCCGATTCTTTTAGTTTGATATAGAGGGAGATAAGAGGCAATTCTAAATAACTAAAAACGGATGGAAAATAAGGAAAACGGATAGGTGTTTCGCGCTAGACGCACAATCGACCAAATAAATTTTATTTTACGAGTAGAAATTTACTAATGTTAAAATGAAAGAGAACACTACTTCACTAGAAAAAAACTATTTCGGGTTCGAGCGGGTTCGGGACGGGTTTTATTCGAAAAAATCCGGATCCCGAAAAAGTTCTGGCGGGTTCGGGAAGAGTTTTAAATCTACGAGATCGGATCGGGTTCGAAAATCTCAAACCCGCAGGATTCCACATGGTAGACCCCTTATCAGACCTTGATTTTTTCATAGTTTGATGTGTTCCGCTTGTTTCTATCCCTTTTCGTTCAAAAGTTATTAACAACATCTACATACACTCTATTTTGAAATGGATAGTAGTACCGTATACCTCTAACGATTATACCATTTTTAGAACCGGGAGAATTATCCAACAAAACAGTTTACCAATGTAATGAACCAATATCCGGTTTTACCTCCAATACAGACCGGAAGATCAGAAACAAATCGAGATCAACAACAACAATCATCGCGACTAAACGATCAAGAGGTACCGAGTAATTATTCTAATACTAATGGTCAACCGGATGTACCACCGCTTAATTTATCAGAACAAAACTATAATCAAAATGAGCCACAACAAGATCAATATCAAATGGATAATAATAATAATAATAATTACAACTTTCAGCAAAGATCATCATCAATCGATAATTATTTATCAACTGAACCAATCCTCTTAACGGAGTTTGAAGAACATCAACTATCAAATGAAATACGAAGTCAACTTGGGCCACAAGCTGTTGATCGATTAAAAATTCTTTATCACGAGTTATCCAGTTTCGATCCCAATGTTACTGGCTATGTACATTACTCTCAAATCAAATTGACGTCAAATAGACTCGGAGTAAGTAGTTAGAAATGTTCTTCGCCGCAGTGCAATCAATTATGTTGTTGAATGTTTCTGCTTTCAGCTATTTTTATCTGATGATACATTACGTTTTGCTTTGTGCAAATTTGTTTCACCAAATCAACCACGAGGTTTTGTTAATTATGAAGATATGATCCGATATTTTGCAAGATGTTTATCATCTCTAGCACCAAATCAATATGGGTAAGTTTTTCATTTGATTCTGTTTTTATTGTAAAACTGAGGTAAATTATTTTCCATATAAAAAAACTCATTTTTTAGTCAGCAGCAAGAGTATTCGTATCAGTATTATCCTCCATCAACCGTACCATATTATCGTCACTCAATTAGACATCAGCCAACATGCTGTACTTGCTATGGAACTCATTTTCATAATTGTAACCTACATCCCTAAATCGGTCCCACTTGTAAATTCCAAACTAACCCATAGTCAAATGTAGAACTAATTCTAATGTGCAGTGTGTTCCCCCATACTTCATTAGCTACTTTTTCCATTGAATATGTGTTGATAATAAAATAACTTTTATAATTCTGAGAGAATTTACGGCTAAAATTTTGATGAACGTTTTGACCTATTTACACACGACAAATACAATATGACAGTAAACTCTATATGAATTAGATTTAAATTTGCCATTTGAATTTTTGCGTCGGTAGTTGTCACTTTTAGGAGTAGATTTTATCATAATGGTCGGTACTGGTCTCTTCATACCTATTATCATCACTATCACAATCTACTAGGGTAAATAGAAATGCTTTTAATGTATATGATTAAAATTGAAAAAAAAAGGTTGCATTTTTAAATTATAAAAATGTTAGTTTTGCTTTTAATGTGGTGATTTGTGTGTACAGTAAAACCTCCTACCAACAGAACAAAAAGATTATAAGATGAGGTAGTGATGATTTATCGTAAGACACATATTCTTGTCATATTTCTACTCTGACCTATGTTTGAAAGGGGTGAGTTATACAAATGCTAAGGTTTTACTGTATTTGATATTGCATGTCTTAATTGTTTTAACATATAATACAAAATTCTTTTGTTTTATTTGATCTATGCATGATTTTGATAAAAACAACAAAGCATGCAGACTTTTATAACTTTTGTATTGATTATGCTTTTCTTTTCTTCTCTAAAACTGCTATATATGCTGTTTTTAGCATACAATAAATCAATGTTAGAGATTTCTACAAGATATAAGAACTATTTATTTCCCTGTTTAGACAAAACCGTTACTCACCACAACAACAACAACAACAACAACAACAACAACAGTCGTACAACAACAATTATGGAAGGTATAGTCCACAAAAAAATCAAAATACGAGTAGTGTTGTCAGTAATAATAAATATGAAAGTTTCGAAGAAAAATTCGATCCTGATGAACGACAAATACGAGTTTTATTAAAACAAAATATCAAACAGTTTGAAATAGATGGAGCTATTGATTTTCAAAAGTTACTTCGAGAACTTAGTTTAACGGATCGTGCTCAAAGTGGTGTGTTAAATCGTCAACAGGTAGAAAAAATATATCTTAAAATTATTAAAAAATAAATTTTAATATTTTATTGATTTAGATCGAAGAAGTTATCTATAAAACTCGTATACCAATGCAACGTTCATTAATATATGCAATATTAGAAAAACATTGTAAAGCGTATGGTGGATTATATAAGTAAAATTTTTTTATTATTTATTGTAAATTTATTATAATTATAATTTCATTTTTATCTTTTAGATGGCAAAATTTTGTCTGGTATCTTCAACAACAGATACAAGATGTTAAACAAAATAAAATTACTCCAAGATATGAACAAGTAATTTTTCAATGAGATTCAAGACTAATTTCTTTCACTAATACTGACTGTCATTGTAGAATGATATTAATCGACAAATTTATGATCGTAGTAGTCAATTAGATTCATTAAGAAATGAATTTAATGAACATGATCGTCTAAGACAAATTGAACGACAAATTGCAAATTTGGAACAAATGAGATGGGTATGTATAATAATCTCTCATCTAAATTCATGTTCAATAATCTTTTTGTCAATATACAGGAAACAAAACAACGAATTCAATCGGCTGATCATGATGGTCGAACCTCAAATTCTTGGTTTATGCGATTTATGCGTTTAGCCAATGCAATGTACACTCATCGAACAAATTCAAATACCGGCTGTGAGTCATTAATTAGTATTGTCTATTTTATTGAATTATCTCTTGTTTTATATTTTTAGTGGACTTCTTATTACCAAAAGAAGAGGCAAGACGTTTAATACTGGCTTATAATGTTGTTTATGATTTAAAACTTGAAGATATAGAAATAAATAATGCGATACAATCTTGCACGAGAGCAGGACATGTTGTAATTGACGATTTATTAAAAGTATTATCAAAAGTTAATTGAGAATAAATACTACTAAATACTGCAAAGGCTTTTTTTTTATTAAAGCGTTGCTTAGTAGATCGAACTTTGTTGACTATTATGTTTAATATTTGTTTCCGATAGAATTCTTCATCTATTCTATAGTAGCAACTCTACACTTTTTAAAACTGTACAAAGTTCTCTTTTATAAAAAAAGAGAGAAGAAGATGAAACTAAATAAATGAATTTCTATATATGCCAATATACGTTTAAATATAAATATCATCATCTCAAAGAGACAACATTGTGAGTCTGTCAAACACATAACATCAAATTATCTTGTATTATATTTCGTTCTTTTTTTTTGTTCATTGAATATGAAAAATGGTTAATTATATTTGAATATAGTTGATGTATGATCATAGACATTCATGATCATTCTATCTAGACTATTTTATTAACCTAGAGAAATATTGATGGTCACATTAATTTAACATTATATCGTAAGTGTGAAGTTTATTTCATTTTATTTTGACCTTAGGTTTTTTTTCTTCTTCTGTTTACATTTTATCATTTTTTTTTTTGACATAATTTATGTTTTCTTTTTTGTTTTATTGCATGAATGATTTAATTTATTTCTTTTTCTTCTATATTATACTAATAGTATATCGTGTCTTTGAAGATAAAAGTCATACAATTTTTAAGTTAGAATAGATGAATTTTTGATGGATCAACAATCATCACACGCGATGCTAAGAAACAATTTGTCAAAGACAGTGACGCCTATCCCCACTTGAATATTTGAGATATTTTATACCACCTTGGAGGTTTGATCTCTCAGTGTACCATCTGAAAAATTAATTTCTACAGCAAGAAAGCGTACCACTGTACTTTTGTTTGAGTCATTGTGCCTCAAACGTCACACCGGATAGATGCCCGTGGTTAAAGAAGTTTAAATTTTATTCATCGACATTTGACTAGGATGCTGTGTGTAATGTCTGGAATTTTAGATTTAATTAGAATATTCTCATGTCACCTTTTTCTATGACTTCAGTTTATGAGTGCACTCAACTTTTTATTTTTTTATATTCTATTTACTATAAATAAAAAGACGTACACCTTTGTGGTATGTGTATATTTGCCCAAAAAAAAAAAAACTAAGCCAAATCGATACAAAGAGAGAATATTTGTATACACTAATTATATGCAACTTAGATTCTTGAAACAACAAGATCAGAAGAATGAATTTTTATTATGAAGTAATAATGATCAACCTTGGACTATGACAATTTTTGAAAGTATAAGTGAACGAAAGAACAAGGTACGAATTAATATATTTACAAGAAAAAGTGTTAAAAAGTATATGAGGTATGTCATAGCAAAATTTTCCTACAATTAAATTAAAAAGGACAAAGGAAATATTTTTCTACGGTTGAATAAGTTTTGATATCTTAGTAGTGATCTCTACTTTTGAAGAGAATAGTAAAAATGTTACGTATCAGTCGCTTCTGCCAATCAATCATTATATCAGCAATTATGACACCATTGTTGTCATTGTCTTGATTATTTTAATTGATTATATGATAAACAGAACAAAAACCTACTGTCAAGGCAAAATAGATTATTATTGTTCCATTGTTAAAGTAAGATAAACTATATACTAATGAAGAAAAAAAGACTACATATTTTGTTTCCTCGGTGGTTATCAATCAATAAACAGATTCTTTCTTTTCCTATGATTGCTAGTGCGTACACAGTGAGAGTAATTGAAAAAAAAGAAATAATAATGCATAGAAAATGTATATACAAAGCATATTACATGTACTGAAAATATGTATAATCATCTTAGATGTAGATTACGTTTGTTTATGCTTTTGTTAGGTAATTTACCTTCTTTTGATATGTATAAGTCATTATAAATCTATTTTAATCTAGATGTATGCAAATAAGAACACCCTATCATCTACATATAGATCGAAAAGGTAATTATCATGCGTATAGAATCTGATATTAATTACACAGATTTTTACATTGATTTAAAAAGTTTTACAAGTATAACCTCATTTTCTTTTACATATCTTATTTTCGTCGATATCAATCGGAGCGTACTGACTTACTCATACAGAACTAAAAGAATATACGTAAACTGTCAAATGTGTCATAAGTTCGACATTTATAGGTATACCTGACTTGTTAAGGTTCAATAAGAATATTGTCATTTCATTTTATGTTGAAAAAATTCAATTTTTGACCAAAAAATTGATGAAGTATTTGTTACATGAAAGCTTCTTAATATATTTACTCTATGTTTCAGCATTACTAAATTGTATAATCCTTGAAGTTATAAATGAAATATGAGACATGGATAAAATTAAATTCAACAAAAATTCAATTTTTTGTAACATTTTGATTGTGTTCATAAATGTTTCGGATAAAGAAATGTCATTTTAACGGTATTCTGGTTACTACACGTATGTCTTATATTCCAATTCATTCGATACTGCTTCGCCTATGTACGTTCATTTATAGTTAATTTTTTTTTTCTATATATTTATAATTTGACTTTTAACCTCAGAATATAAAGCATAGATGCAAACGAAAAACAACAATTTATCATTATGAAAAAGAGAACAATTTCTTCTCTGATATACACACATTTTTCTTTAGCATATCTCCTACCTATAATAAAAAAAAAGTATTATTGTAAAAACTCGCAACATAAAAGAACTTCAATGAAATTTAGAACAATTGTGAATTTTCCATCGCAATAACAATCGACTCAGTATTAACAACATCCTTCTGTTGATCTCCGAATACTAATACTTTGCGAATTACGTACATGTTTTTTGAACTTATTTTTTTTATATGAAGATAATAAAAATGTTCTATTTCTCAGACAAGATAAGAAACGAAAAAAAAAGAAGAGAAGAAAGGAAAGTTTTTTCTTAATATGTTTGTTTTACCAGACGCGTTGTCTTATTTTTATTTTTCATTTTAGTTTTTAAGAAAAAGTAAGACAATAAATTTGATTTATTTCTTCTTTTCTTTTTTTTGCACACGAAACTTATGTTTCGAAAATTATTTTGACTAACCAAAGAACATTGTACATGTATGTAAAGAGACTATTGTTTTTCAAGAGAGAAAGGAGAGTAGAAGGAGTATATAAGAAATGAAGCGTGATTTTTACTAAACGAAGAATCACTATCGCATAGTAAACAAAACAGTGGTAAAGATCTTTTTTTGATCCGTTTAAGAAGTTTCAATTTAAAATAGAAGGATGAAAGAGTATAAATTGAAAGTCATGAGGATAATTAGAAATATCATGTAGCACATATGCGTGATACATCGATGTTGTTTAAATATTTTCTCATAAATTGATCGTATATAGTAACAATTCAAAATTCTAATATTAATCGTAAGTTGACATGATATAGAAATCTTCGGCATAGGCTTAGAATTGTTTAAAAATTTCAATTGAATAAATCAAACATTCTAATTTAAAGTCAAAGTGTGTTCACAATAGCTTTTTTTGTATTGGCTTGCTTCTTTTAAAGTTATAAATGATGAAAGATGAAGAGCTTAGAGTATTATAATACTAATATTTTAAATAGTTTTATACTGGAAAAAAGTGTATGTCAAATAGAAAAGATAAATGTGGCATGAAATGTTCAATGTCGATTGCTAATAAGTCTTGTACACATTAACTTTTTATACATAGAGTTTTTGTTTCATTGATGAGAAAGATTTTGTTCTATCAACAGAACATATTACATACAGGTTTTTTTAGCTACGGATACTTGAACTTATAGTATCAAAAAAAAAAAAGAAAATATTTTACTTTGATCTTTTTTTCTTCAATAGAATATATTTTTGGATCATAAAAACGGTATAGAATTTTTTTTTCTTTCAAATACTACAAAAATAGTTATCTTCACTTGTACAAATATTTAAGAAGGATTTTTATTTTTATTTTAAAAAGAGACCGCAGCATAATGTTACAATCATCTGCCTGTTAGTGTGTATGTCTACACAATTGAAGGTTACACAGTCATTACCGTAGCTATACATATATATATATATGTATATATGAGTGTGTGTACATATCAATTCAGACATGACAATAGTCTTTCGTAGTCTCATCCAAACGTATTTATCGATATTAATGGGAATATTATAACGACGGGTAGATCAGACAGTTAAGTCCATTTATGTAGGTAATTTGTTAAGTTTTTTAAGTGAAACTTGAAAACTCTATTGGATTTCACTAAAAAAAAAGATTTTCTGCATCCTGCACACTGTATTTCCACTTTCGAGTCACCTGTTCGCTTATCTTTGATCGTAGTGATTTGGAAAAAAGATGATGATGATAATCTGTAACATTTGTCGAGGAATAATCTGTAAGATAACTGATTTCGATAATAGTCGCAAGACACTTTATACTGAATACGATATACAGTGACAGACTTGAAGCGAACAGGGAGATGCCACCTTCCTCTTTCGAGAATTTCTACTAAGATCACTCCCTCTTAAGATACTTCCGCTCTTCTGTTGCCATATATGATGAACAAAAAGTAGAATTTTTTTTACAAAGTCATCTCATACTATCTCTAACGGATTTTTCTTTTAAAAATCGTTTTTCCCTAAATTTTTACAATTTAGCTTAAATTAAATAGTTAGTTCAAATTATGTAATATGACGCAGTTTAGTGTACGTTTTAACTATCGCCTAATATAGGATCCCAAAATGAAGATTTTTTCAAAAATCAAGTCAAGAAACCTTTCTTTTCAGTCAAAATAGCTATGAACTAGGCTTTGATGTTGGGCTCATTGTTTCCGAAGAAAACAGTTATACGTTTATTTACTTGTCACTGGAAAAAAAAATAAAGTTGGTTTTGAGTTGCTGAAAGGTGCTTTTTCGTATTCAACACACTTAATAACTCAGAAGATTTCCTATTTTTGGCGAACGGTACTTCCAAACGTTTAGGAAAAATTTTCAAACTAATATTATTTACCTATGGAAATTTTTTTGCGTCATTTTGTTTCAAAATTTTTCCTAAACTTTTGGTAGTACCGCTCGTCAAAAATAGAAAACCTTCTGGGTTATCGGGTGTGCTGAATATGAAAAAGTATTTTTCAGCAACAAAATCAACTTTTTTTTGTTTTTTTGTGACAAAATGATAAAAAGATGTCGAATAGATAAATCACTATGCAGATTACACCTTGATAGTAAAACTTTGATGTTACCAGCAGCAATGTTAATGTTGGATAAAGATTTTCTTTTTTTCATGACCGTATTAACAAGCGTCCTCAAAGCTTCCCCTTCCTTCTGTTGTCACACAAAACTATCTTTAGTTCAGCCTAGTCTAAGAAGTTGTAAATCAAGTACCTATGAACATCGATTATTTATCTGTTTATCATGTGATAATTACGTGTCTATGTAATCTAATATAGTCCAGCAAAATTTTATCATGAACACATAGAAATGAATGAATCAATATTATTATTGATAGAAATATGATTAAAATAACAATCATTGTAAAACTTGTATTTTGTAAATTGTTACGTTTAACCTTCAGTTGTTTGTTTACACGTTGCTACATACCATACCTTTTAGATTAAACTACTAAAGTAATTTAAATCTATAGAATATATTTCTATTCAGAACGTTGTTATTATTACTATTATGGAATCATCGTTTAACAGCGACAAACCTGTTGATATAAATTATTTTAATCCCATTGAAGGAATACAATTCGATGGAAAATCATTTGCACTTTATGGTAAGCCTTTAGTAGTTACTGATTAACATTATTTGACTTCTTTTCATTTTCTAGATCCAAATTTTAAAATTGAAAACCACGTGAATATATCATTTCAATTACAAACATTTGCACATAATGGTCTCATAATGTGGTTAGGAGATCCATTTCCAGAAAATAGTTTTACAATTGAAATTCAAAATAAACAGGTAATTGCTATAATGAATCGGATAAAAGATATGATTTTGTGTAGTGGAGAGTTAAGATCTTAACTTTAGAGTTAAGAACAGAATTGAAAACCGATTCAAATTTTTATACTAAAGTCTAACCCAATAGAATTTTTTCGTATCTAAAACCGATTGTATTTATCAGAGTCGTACACAAATTTGACTCAAATATTCGACACTGAAGATTTGTCGTATTGCGTCTCTGAGCATATTTTACGTCAGATCTTTTTGTGTTACAAAAATGCTTATATCATAATTTGTCTTATCATAGTCTGACGCATATTTTAAAAGTATGTACGATTAAGAATGCGAAACCTGGAACATCAAGAAGAACTGATCAATTCATTCTTGAACAAGAAAAATATACTATTAACGCAATTTTATGCAAAGAAGTGTCAAAAAGTTTCACAAAAATTCCATCATAAAACGAGTTTTACTTATTGTGCTCTTGAATATAAAACAGGCCATTTATATCAAAAAGCAACAGCAATATATTTGCAGTCATGAATCATAAAACGGAAGAAAAATGATTGAAACTTTTAAAAGAATTCAGTCGTTTACCATCCACACCTCTCTGTCTAATGATTGAGCAACAAACAGGATCCTTCTATCCAGTACTAACTTCTTTTCAGAATAACAAAGTGTCGGATTTGTAGATTCAAACAGAAATCTACCTGAAAATCTTTTTGTACGAATCCGACGATTTTAAACGACATTCTCTTTGTTTACAAATAGAATTATTTTTTTTATGCTATTTTTAGCTTGTTGCACGTATTGTTGCCAATGGACAACCCTTTAGTGTTCGTACTGAATTTACTAAAAATCGCCTGTGTAACGGTGTATGGCATTTTGTAACTGTCCGTTTAGATGATAATGTTTTGACGATGAAAGTTGATAAACGAAATTTTATAAAAACTGAACCACGTGTAACTGATATTCAAATGAGAGGACCGCTATTTATAGCCGGCTATTCTGAACAATATTCACCACAGTATATTTCCGTGAGAGTTAATGACTTTTTTCGTGGTAATTTACGAAACTTGAAAATAAACAATTTACAAGTTGATTGGTTAGCACCAAAAAATACATTATTAGCAGCTACACCAGAATTTCATTCGTTATTTGATGATCGAATAAACTATAATCATCAACACCATCATCATCAACAACAACCTTTAATAAAGAACTCAACTGTATTCGATAGTTCTCGAATTAATAATTATAATAACAGTAGTTCAAAACACTATCAAACAGTCACTACAGCGACAACCACCGCCACAAATCAATTCTTAACTTAAAAACAAGACATATACATATAATCGGTCGACTTGAATTAGTATTGTCGTGCAGTGATAATAACCGGTTTCTTATTAGTTGTTTATTTATAAACATTCAATTTATATTTTATCTATTTTATATTATTTGATTTTCTGTTATGTACATATGGATATGATTGTGATATATTATTACACTAAGAGAGTAGCAGATTCATCTATTATAGGCACTTATAACGTAACGGGTTCTTTAGTTTGAATAATCTTTTATTATGTGACTTAAAATCGATAAAATTTTGAAAATGTGTGTTGAAATTTAGTCGGTCAACAGAATTTATCACTCGAATGTAAAGCTAATGTTATCGAGTACCCATGAAATAATTTGAAAAGGCTAACGATCGTTAAAACGCGTTAAATATGAAACATTTAACGGGTTAATCCACTTCCTTCTTGTTTATTTTATTATTGGGCATATATCTTCAAATGAAGTCTTCAAGACTTCATAAATCTTCTTTGGAGTACAACACCAATAGCTGCTAACGATTTTTTTTCATTTGCAAAAGCAATAGGATGAAATGCATCATAACCGTATTGGTAGAATGATACTGTTAATATTTCATATCAATGCTATCAAAGATGTTGCACAGCATCTTATCTTCTATGGATAAAAGTTCTATCGAAGTTGTGAAATCTATCGTTGGTATTGAACTTGATATTGAATCAACATCGAACATGACCTAGTGGAATTTTACGAATTAAGGACGTGGTAGATGATCAGGAATAATATTAATATGAGCCGAAATATGTTTAGCCTTACAAACGAAATTTACAACAATAGAGACTCAGTCATGTCATTAATGACATGACCATTGAATCTTTCGAAAAACCCTTTTGACTAAATACATTTTCATTGTCGGTAAATTTTCTTATTTCAGTATTAATATGTCCAATATTAAAATAATCAGGGAAAAAGATTGTGCTCCCCTTAAGAATCACGAGCGAGTACGTTAACTGATATTTACGTTCAATGTAAATCTCAAACAATAAAAAAAATTTATACTTATTTCTAATTTGAAATCAATCATTAATTCAGAGATGCGGTTTTTGTCATTTGATGACGAAGACTTTGGAGCATCTTTTCTTCAAAATACGTTGAAAAATCGGTACTTTTTATAGACTCAAAACTTAAATCCATTTGAGTACTTTGAAACTTTTAGGCTATATTTAGCTTGACATAGTAAACGTCAGTATGTCAAAAAAGATTCCAAAATATGTTTTTCGTTTCGAAGGTTTCTGAAGATCCTTTTGAAAAATCCACAGGGTTCATGAGGATCTTTCATATGTTAAGAGTCAAATAGCATTGTGAGCAGTTCATATACGGTTTATTCTGAAGGAAATTTTTAAATCATCGATCTGGACGAATGTCGAATGAGAGAGGATTTTTTTATTTACAATGAAAATAGGCCAGAAGCGATGATTTTCGTATAAGCAAGTTTACATCAGGGTATTGAATTTTTCCTAAAAATAAATTGTCATAGCAGGAGGAAAAAAAGTAGACATGGGGTCGTCAAAATTTTTTTCCATTCTTGAGATAATCTTTGTTTTTGCAACAGGTCGCATAAAACAAGAAAATTCACTGTATTTTGCAGTTTTCACCGTCAAGCTTCCATTTTTCTTGTGTAAAATCAAAGTCATATATGGAATCAGCATCAAAAACTAAATGGATTAATGTGTGTTTCAGGATTTTTGGACAACTTTTCTTTCGAACTTTTCAATCGCGATTTTTGCGGAAAAATCAGAGTTGTTCAAAAATCCTGAAACACACATTAATCCATTTAGTTTTTGATGCTGATTCCATATATGACTTTGATTTTGCACAAGAAAAATGGAAGCTTGATGGTGAAAACTGCAAAATGCAGTGAATTTTCTTGTTTTATGCGACCTGTTTCAAAGACATTGGTTATCTCAAGAATGGAAAAAAAATTTTGGACCACAGCCAAATTTGTAGTTTTTGCATTTTTTTCTTTCCAGAAGTAATTCCAAAGGCTGAAACACATATATTCAGAATCAGCTCGACGAGTTCTATCTAACCAAGCGTAAGTTGTCCTAGTAAAATCCCTGTGAGTTTTCTGACAGGATCGGAGACATATTCTACCAATATCCTACTAGGATTTCGCTTTAATTTCTTAGGATCCTAACAAAAGCCTACAAAAGCTCATGTTATTGATTTGCGAAAAGAACTACTATAGCTATATATAATTGTCAAAACATTAAGTTAAAATAAGATACTGACTTTACTATTTTAGTAAAGAAAGAATTACCATTGTGTTAAAAATCAAATGTTCGAGTTTAACTAAAACAAGAGTGTCAAGGCTATTCTCGGGTAAAAAATTGACAACTTTCTAAAACCACATTAGAACGGATTAGAAAACTTCGGGTTGCGCAGACTATTCTATATTCTACTTAGGGAAATCGTCTTTCGCTCTTTTCGTTGCCGAGTTATTTCAAAACATATCCAAGTACATTCTACGTTGCATGCGACAGTATTTTACGTGTTTTACACTCTCTACGTATAGGTTTGATAATGCCCGCTATTTTACAGATATGTAATTAACCAAGCAACATAGCAGCCCCTTTGGACCTCAATAGTTTATCTACTAGTTTTATTTCAACCTGAAACGTCATTGCATTGTTTAAATCCGGATCCCAAGTAAAATTAAGTCATTGAGAAAATTCAGCTGCAGAAATAGCTGCAATACCTACTTGCAACTAACGTGAACACTAGAAATAATGTCCCTCTTCGTATTTTCTCAATATCTCGGTCAAGGTTGATCGCCAAGTCTCAATCTCTTTTTTTTAACAATTCCTCATTCAATTCTCTACACAAAACATATTGAAGATATTGAAACTTTATGTACTATAAGAATAAAAGGAAAATTTGATTTTTGTTCCTTAGCACAAGAAACGAAATGAGGCTATTCGACTTTCTCTGTTCGGGTGTAACAGAAGAGTTATTTTGTTTTAAGATAAACTAGACCCGACGTCATAATGTGTGGTTTTGTCCGAATCTTACAAGTTTTCTTAAACTGCAGTTAGAAAATGATGATTTTGCACAAAATCGCTAAAAGATAAGCAAAGCCTCTTGCGACCGCTTGAGCCTATGAAGATAAATATAGCCAGTTGATAGAGCTTTTCGGGAACTACAGAATGGCCGTTTTCACTTTTTTATATCGCAAAATATAAGGGACTGAAATTGAAAAATCTGTTTTTTTGGGTTTGAAAGTAATCAATATTGAAGTTTTCCCGTATCTTCTTTATATTTTTTGATTCTTCTAGTACATAAAGAAATATTCAATATGTTTTGTAGAGAGAATTGAATGAAGAATTATTTAAAAAGAAGATTGAGACTTGGCAATCAACCTTGACCGAGACATTGAGAAAATACGAAGAAGGACATTATTTCTGGCGCACCCGTTACATTAAAAGGGTACATTTATCTAGCTGCATGCTGATTGAAAATTGTGTTCTAGCTGAAGCAGTCGCTGCATCGATCAATTTATCGAATACTTTATTGCTCGATTAATCAACAGCATCTGGCTACACTGAATTGAAGATAGATTTTAATCAACATGCAACATGTGTTTGCTGTTTATGTTGATAGCATTTCATCTAATGAGAAAGAAGATAATATATCATGAAAACGAAAAAAAAATTCAACATCTCGATTTATCTAATGTTGAAAAAACGTTTAAAAATTTACTTTTCAGCTCGCATTCTTTCTATTTGTTTTAATCTCTCATTACCTTGTTCACCATTGATAATACTATTGTTTCGTCTTTTAAAAAAAAAGAAGAAACATAATGAATAAAGACACAGCAGTGTTGGGGTTGAACCTAAACTGTGTTACGTAAAAAAATTTCACATTGCCCTTTTCTCTCTTTTTAGATGTTATTACTTAACATCCTTAAACTAAAACCACGTTCTTTATATGAAATAAATACGTGTGATTTTTGTTCAATGTAACAAGAAAGTGGCAGGTGTTAATCCTGAAACAAAACGAAACCAAAATATATATATATATATTATTTTTGTTAGATAACATTCTTTCTCATCTGCTAACAACAAAACACCTAATTTGTTAAGCTATGATGTATGCTAAAAACCAACATTCAGAGACATTTAAGACAATATAAATTACTAGTACGAAAACATCGGTAGATTCAGTCGACTCAGATTATTCTCAAGTAAGCAAGGGTTATTCCTAGTCTAACGTATAGTAAATATTTTATACATACTTCAGTTTAATTCGCTATTTCTCAATTAACCAGCTCGCAATCATATGTATAGTCGTGCTAGCATATTTTGTCATTGTGCTAACCCATCCGATATGAAATTTAAAAAATACACTATTTTAAAGAAGAAAAAACCTTTATCTTAGATTAAATAAATGGATAAATCCAGGTTAATCACAGACAACATAAAATCCTTGATTTCAATGAAAGAAAATTGAATATTGATACATTTGAAATAAATGAAATTTTTCAAATTGTATGACGTTTAATTCGAAGGATTAATTACTCGAATAGTTTAAATGTTATGTAATGATGTATTTTTGAAAGCAAAAATCAATTGTCATTGGATAAGAAAAAAATTCTACAAAATATTTCGCTAGAAACTCTTTGACGACTAAACATGACAAATAAATAAGAGCTCAATTAACACTTCTAAAATGTTCTATCTCTTTTTTCTTAAAAAACTGGATGTTAAAAATAATTTGCATAGTTTCTCTGCCAGTTAATGAGAAAGATTAATATACTCGAAGCTTATCAACACCTGTATGTTAAAGAAAAATCCTGTTTTCTGATATAAATTTGAAGTAGAACATGATTACTTATGACCTTTTAAGCTGAGGATAAATGATTTTAATTGCCTACTCAATTTTATAAGTACTGTTATGTAGCCATTGATCAAGAATCTACATCATCCTTGACTACATTCAATCTGGTTCTTTTTGTTCATTTCTAATCTCGCCAACTCCTACCTCTATCTATTTCTCTCTTAATTTTTTTTTTTTTTGTAAATACATATGTCCCAGTATCTATCTCTTCATTGTTCATGTGTAGATTTTCTCTTTTTTGCTTTATATATGAGTTGTACATCATTTGTCTCTCTCTATTTTATACTTCCTGATCAGTTCGAAGGTATTAACATTTATTTAAATAACTTTTCCCTTTCGCGTTCGAGAGAGAGATAGAGACAGAAATTTGTTTGTTCAAAATACACATCTCTACATGTATATTAGACAGACATTCTTATGCATACTATGAAGAAACAATGTGCTTTCAGATAAATTTTTAAAATTTTGTTTTATCTATGATATTTTAAGTGATATCTAGTATGTATTTTAAATATATTATTATTGTGATGGCTGTTATTCAATCATTCTCACTATCATATTCATATTAAATATGATCATTATCGTCAATCAATGATAATTATGAATTCAATAGAATTAATATTATCACCATGTTTTACTAAACAATGTGTAATATTATTTATACAATCTATTTATTAACAGGTAATGATAGTTATTGTAAAAGATTAAAAATTCTTAGATCAGTCTACTAAAGACTATTAACTAGATAGTGTAATGATAATGGTAAGAGAATTTTTAAACTTTTCTACTATTATTTTTGTTACACTTTTGCTTGAGATTTTTATGGTTTGAACGGATTGATCGATTTTCTAATTGTTCACTTATATTAAATGCGCTGAATGATATTCTTGTTTGCAATGTATCTTAAATTCTGTTTTATTACAAATATATATCTTTTTTTTGGCAGTATTCGACGTTACTTTATCTCATTTCAAATGTACAAAAGACGGATTTTTTCCTGATGAAAAAGATTGTTGGATTTATCATATTTGTGTTGGCTCATCACACGTTGTCAAAGCCTGTAAAGAAGAACTCTATTTTAATCCGAAAAAAAATGAATGTGATTGGCCAATGAATGTATGTCATGTACTTATCTAATTTCTATTATTTAAATGATTAGAAAAGATTCTTTTGATTTAGGTTAATTGTTCAGAAAATTCCTATGACGATTTAGTAACAATGCCACCATTATCATCACCACACGTTCCATTCAAAGGTTTGTACAATGATATTATTGACAATGTGATATGTCAACTTTAATTTTTTTATGTCTAGAATCCAAATATCCTGTTGGTGACAATCATGGTCATAAAACAGTACAAAAACAGCCATTTGACACATCATTAGACCGTTTATGTCGACAATATGAAAATGAATATGTTGCTGATCCTTCTAATTGTCAACGATATATCTATTGTGCCGATGGTAATGTTATTTTACTGCTATTAGATCACGTGTACTAACGTCTAATTGTCTAAACCTATTTGAAAAAATTAGCCTAGTATCTGACTTTTTTTCGTATATATAGTGAAGTTTACACATGTGCGCTTGGTTAAGTAGACAAAGCACCTTGATTGATTGTACAACAAAAAAAGAAGGAGAAAAAGAAAGAGCAATTAATCTTTATTCATTGTTTGCGCAGAAGTCGAATAATTTTTTTTTTTTGTGTTGTAGACAAATGGGTATAGACTCTTTACACAGGGATACTAACTAGAACTATTTTAAACGATAAATTTCCAATAGGATCACATAATTAATTACACAGTAACATTCAAAATAAAAGCCTGGTAGTCTTATCCTTACGAGTTTCATACTGTTAAAACAACTGCTCAGCATTTATTTCAGTAGAATTCAAAAAGCAATAGACGATACGGATTCTGTTTTTCAAACCAGATGAATAAAAAGACTTGTTTAATGCTCAATTAAGAGTGTTCACGCCTCGTCAGAACATTTTTTCTACATCGCATATTCGAATAAAACAAAATTTTCAAAGATAAAAGTTCTAGATATAAATGGGCAATGATAGAAATGTTAACTAAAAATATTAAATTATGCTCGAGTTATAAGTGCTCCAGAGTTCAAAGCATGACATTTAGAGAATTCCTCACAGCTTTTTGATGACTTTAGTGAATAAAGTCTAATTTGACAGATAGCAAAGTGAAGAAGATAATTTCATCTATCTAAAGTTTATTCGTACTGAGCGGCGGTTTCCATGATTTTGGTCATTCATATTTGTTAATCGGAAAATTCATTTTTTTAAAGAATCTCAGTATTCTGAAGACTCCGTCATTTTTGATAGACATATCCGGATATATCGCAATAAAATATAATATAATATACTCTTTAATTCATTACGATGCATGCCCTTATCGCGTTATATATCGAGTTTAGATAATAAAATATGAGTAGGTTAGAGGATGTGTCACACAGGATCATCGTGCTACGCTTTACTTAATTAATACAATAGGAACATACATTCGGTAAAACATTTCGTAGAAATTTGATATTTTAAATAAAAAAAGTCATTATTACACGTTGAATCGTCTATCTACATATCTGTACTATACTGTTACATTTTTTAGGACTTGCCGGAACATGACTTAAACTTTGTAATGCGAAGTTGTGCACAGAAATGTGTCAGATCTTTCTTGTTCTAACTCGTTTAATGTTGTTCTTAATCGTTTTCAAGACGCCCGTTTTTTAGGACTTCTAGAAGTTTTTGTGAAAATCTTCGAAGGCCAATAGAAGTGCAAAATTCTTAAAAGATAAAGAGTTCAGATTATACATGACTATATTTAAAACACAATACTTTATTTTTAACGAAAAATCAGAGTTGTGAGATTCTTAGTTCGTGACACTTTTTTTAGCTCGGAGTGAGACAAAACAGGGAACAGGTTCTAATTGTAAATAAGCACAATCGAGCTTGTCAGACGAAGAAGTGGATATGACTAATTAGTTTGGTTTTGATCAATCGAATAGTAATCTAAGACAATGAATCATATAATATTTTAATCAATTTTAGGTCAACCACGAGAGTTCAAACTATGTCCGCCTGGTTTATATTGGTCTCAAAGACTTAAACTATGTGGATGGCCTTCTCAATCAGATTGTATGTCGAATCTTGTCTTGGGTAACTTAGCGGTGAACATGTATCTTCTTTCGTTGCAATAGGTCCAATTAAAAATCAACAAAATTCTAAACTGACAACATATTCTAACGCATATGTTATAACAGAAGCAAATCCTGCTATGCCAAATGGTAATGCACCAATACAATGTCCTATGAGTGATAAACCAATCACTTATCCTGATCCATACGATTGTTCAATATTTCATTATTGTCTTAATGGTGTTGATCAAATTCGACCTTGTCCGGCAACATTATACTATGATAAAGAGCGTGGCAGTTGCAATTATCCATATAATGTTACTTGTGAGTTTATCAAACGTCAAACTAACTGATGAATAATTTGATTTTTCTTCTCAGGTCGAAACAAATGTCAAGCTCAAAATGAAGGAACAAAATTTGTTGATCTAAAAAGTTGTTGTCATTATCAAGAGTGTATTAATGGTCGTTTAATTACGTATGCTTGTCGATCACCGTTGCAATTCGATATCACAACAAAACGTTGTGAATATTATAAAAAAGTTGAATGTGCTGGAAGAAAACCATGTACAAATCTTTGTAAGCCTTGTTCTTTGTTATAGAAGTATTAGTAAACTCTAGTTATTATCTGTCATTTAGGTCAATATTTCGAGGATCAATCAATGTGTGATTTGTATCCATCATGTTCAAATCACGGGGATGGTTGGTATCTTGATCGAACAAAACCTGGATGTCAAGTTGCCATTCAATGTGTTGATCAACGTTTATTAAACACAACAAAATGTCCGGTTAACAAACGTTTTAATCAAAATACTGGAAGATGTGTGCCAGCAGTACAAGTCATATGTTCAGGTAAAATATGTCTGATATTGCATGAAAAAGTTTTGCTTACCATTGTTGAAGCGCACTATTAACATTATACCCTTAAAGTAGTAGAATAAAGATACATTTTATAAATCAACACTTTTCACCTTTAATTTAACATTCGGATGGTCTAGCAAAACAACTATTTAACATTCATGTTTATTATCTATTTTTAGGATCATTTATTACATGTTCTCTTCTAATTATTTTCAAGTCAATAGCTATTATTTATTTGAGTAATAGTATTTTTATTAATAATTATTAGTTTTTCGGATACACGTTACTTATTCATCTTAATAATTCGACAACATCTTGCTCTAAACATCGATTATATAACTAAAAAATGGTAAAAACATGTTATATAGAATACATAATCATTTTTATAAATCTTAACCCAATGAACAATAATTACCTAACTTTCTGCGGGCTATTTGTCAGAGAAAAATTGTGAGCATATTTCAATATTGTTGTTGTTTTTTATACTATAGTTTTTTCTACTGATGCATCTGTCGTTTCTGTTTTGTTTTTAACTATTTTGCATTATAATCCCTCTATTTTATTAAACTGTATTGATTGATGATGATGATCACGCAGACGAAATATGGTGTTGCAAATATAAATTAAACATTCTTAAAATTTGACTACTAAGTCATTCATACAGAACGGAAAATTTCGATTAGAAAAACTGAATAATTATTCTGTTAACATTCAGAGTGTTGTATTTTGATAAAACTGTGCAAATGAAGTTAAGAAGATAGTTTTATCTCAGTTCAACTAAGACTACGGTAGATAGTTACATAGATATTATTTAAAAAACAAAAAAAGTTAAAGACTATCAATTAAAACTATAATAAATAATAGATTATTAGTCATTCATTTATTCATCATCTTCTTCGTCTTCTTCGTCTTCCTCATCTTCAAAGGGATGTTTTGATGTTGTCGATGGTTGTGTAGTTGTCTTTTTTGCTCTATCTCGTATTTCGACTAATGTCGTTTTATCCTCACAATCATCACCAAATTCGGCATTGTACAATTCATTTTCGGCTAAATATTTTAAAACTTTTTTATTTTTTCGACTATCTGACAATGATGCCGTATCTTCGAAATCATGTTCAATACGCAATTCTTGTTTACCAATAAAACATACACGACTACGACGATGAATACCAACTAGTTTATTATTACCCGATCGATTTTCACAATACAACTTAGAACCTTTTGATATTAAAGCTGTTTTGGGTTTTTTCATTTTATTTACAATCGATTCTTCTTCTCCAGTCGTCTTATCATTGGTAGATGAATCAGTTTTGTATATCAATTGATTAATACAATCTTCGGTATGATCATTTAATTCAATACATTTGTCTGTTGAATATGTTCGAGCTTTCGATAAATTTTTCTTATACCAATGCCAACATTTTCTTTGTTTAATATTCTCTGGTCTATGATCTATATTTGCTAACGAGACAGTGGTATGAATTTGAAGACCACGACCTTCTATCACTTCTACTGGACTATGAACATCACGATAATTTTTTTCTTCTACATGATCTTCAGTATCACCAGTAGTTGTATCTACTGAGGCAGTTTCTTGTGTTTCATCCACTTCACGTTTGACACGGCTATCATCATCACGATGTTTCTGATGATGATGATGACGATATGACGAATGTCGTCTATGAGCCGAGTATCTATGACCTACAAGTTTAAATCTTTTATTGTTCATATATTTTTTAATAAGAACTTTCTCTACCTACCATGATGTCGACGATCTTGTTCATCATTCGTCTCGTCGTCATCCATATCGTTGTGATCTTGATCCACGGTAGCTAATTCAATATGGCATTGTGCTAAACTGATGCTACTATTTTTTGATGATAAACATACTAAATCATTGTCTAATATATCTTTGGGTAATACTTCTTTTAATTCCAACAATGTTTTTTCACCAACTGAAAATGATTTTTGTACTCTTAAGCGACGATTTATTTGTTTCAAATATTTTAAATTGTTAACTCTTTTTCCAAAACGATTTGTTGATTTACCGCAATCATAATTGACTTGAATTAGACGACGTGTAATTGGAACACCAATACAAAAATTTTCACGCATGCGTACCACACAACAATGTTCTTCACCATCATGACCATCGTCGTATGCATAAGCATTAATGGTTGCTGATGTACTTTTAACAAAAACTGATAAAATAATGCAACAAAAAATTAATAATAATTTGCCCATTTTTGTTTTTTACTAAGTAGTATAGAAGATGATGTGATGAATCTTTACCTATAAATATGCAAAAGAATCACTGTTTACTTTTAGAATGATCAAGATAAGGTTATCGCATCATATTTTTAATTTTTATTACTCTGTTACTCATATTACTTAATAAACAGGTAAAGTTATCCGAACGAATCAAAGATTCGTTGTGTAACTAATGAAAAACTTCGTGCAAGAGTTTGAGTGAATGCGATGTTATCACTTTGTTAAACATATGTTTATTGACCTTTTTCGAAATGAACTAATTCTTTACAACACAAACTATTTCAGTTATTTTCAAAATTTGAACAGAACAATAATCATTTTAGCTAATTTACATGTTGATTTATTGCAGTCGCAGTTTCCTTCGTTTTTTTCGATTACTTACTTCACTAATATTACCTGTCTTGTATGTCTCTCGTCGGTTAGTGTAATCTTTACTTCTAACCACAACCGAATAGGAAAAAAATGTTGTGCGTTTATGTTGAATCATCAATCGCCTGTAACCACCTACTTTTGATTCTAATATACAAAAATGAAAAATGGTAATGAGTAGAGGGAGAATGATGCTATGAACTAATATTTTTCTGTCTTTATATAAACATGCTTTTTGTTTAATTTCTATTTTCGATCGTGATACTTTAGTAGTAACTTGGAACAAAAAGTTGTCTTATTTTATCTCATAAATATCGTTCGTTTCGTTAGTGATATCTTCGGCATGTGTACTGTCGTCAAATGAGTTTCAGCTCTTAAAAATAGTGATTGCTATATTTAAAAGTGCTTAATTCAAAAATGATGATATTTATTTAAGAATAAATATATCAAATCTGAAACATGTCATACAATATATGTTTTATGCGTTGAATTCATATTTACATTTGACTGATATCATATCACTGTATATTGGATTTCACAGGTAGTTGAAGTGAGACTAATACATCAGGCAAATTCATCAGCGTTGAGCTATGTTTACCATATACTTCGCACATCTCTCATCTATCGGTCATAAACCATCATAATCAATAGCACCTCTCAAGAATATATTACTTTTAACCTTTATAAGGAATTGTGAGCGCAATAGAATATCGAACAACGGAATTGATATTGTGCGAAACGGGACGAAGTAGTATTTGCCATGTGGTGCCACTATTTGTCAATAGTAATCAACTTTCTATCTCGAAAATAATCTATTGAACTACATATCAAAATGGTTTCTTATTGTTGTTGAATTGAAATATAGAAGCTATTTGCAAATCACTCAAGATCATGCTCCCAGGACGTCAAAAACGGTGTAATTAATTGCCAACTAAATGCCATTTAATACGCTGTTAATAAGCATTTTAAAGGCATTTTTATGACATTTGACTCCGTTTTTAGGCCGTTTTTTGCCATTATAACTGGGAACGTTTAAATGCATTTATTTCGCATTTTTTTAAATGTCAAAAAACGGTCAAATAACAGGCATTTAACTG